GCGGCGTGCGGAGCGCGGGAGGGCGTTCTGTGGGAAAGCCTTTGCCAGCGACAGCTGTCACGGAGCGTGAGGTGAGTTTAGTGCTTTTGAAGCAGCTGTTTTCATTGTGCTGGTTGTCACGTCGGCGTGCAGTTGTGAATGGTTTTCGTCTCGTGCCAAAATTTGTTAAATACATCGTCAGCTTTCCTTATATATGAATAGCACTAATTTCCGTGGCATCTAGACGTTAAAGATTTAAAACCAGTATAACGGTAGTGTGAATGCAAGCAGTCTTCGTAATTAACAGTTTTCTCCAGGTTGCTAAGGTATGAAAATAAATTATCTAAATATTTGAAGCATTTTTCTTGCACCATGAAACAAACGTCAAACTGTGACGATGCGTTAGTGACGCTGCCCCAAACTGCGGGTGTTTTTAACTCCCTGCTGCCCTTTGCCGTTTTGTGTAGCAGGTAAACATCTGTGAAACTGCATGGTGGAACTGCATTGGGGAACCGACAGGCTGAAAGATAAACTAGAAAGAATAATTATCGTTTGGATCAGTTTCACATCCTGTTTCACTATATTCCCCATATGACTGTGCAGCAAACAGTTGGTGTGCAGGGAAAAATGTCTTTTTCTTTCTTTTGCTTTGTTTGTGTTAAAATGGTGTTAACATAAACGTATGGCAGGCTGGCCTAAAATTCAACTAAGCTATTACAGTATTTAAAATACATAATTGGTACACATTGTTGGCTGCAAGAGAAATGCAAATAAGAAAGCAGCGTGCTGTGCTAATTATCTAAGTTGTATTTGCTTGGTGTTATGAGGTGTTGTTAGCAACAACAACAAGAATTTCCTTATAACCTGTGACTTAAGCAAGTGATGTGCCAGGTGGCTGAGGGAAGCACAGAGTAACCTTTGCCCTGTCTGCAGACAACTGTTAACAGTCCCGTTGATTTTAGTTGAATAGACACATAAAACTAGACTTAAAATGTCCGTGTAACTAAGGCCTGAGTTTTTTCAGTTATGTTGCTGCAGGAAGGATAATTGGCTTTTAGTTTCAATTGGAATCTGTAACAATTAGGTTACTTAACAATACAAAATATTAAAAATATAGAAATGCAAAGCAAGCATTTCTGTTGTTGCACACACAGAAAAGATGTTTTATTTCTTTATTGAAAACTCCTTAGACAAAAAGAAGCAGCTTCTTGCTCAAATCTGCAGTTCTAGAAGAAAGTTCTTATGATTGTGTTTGAGAGAAAGAGTTCCCTAGTAGTTACCAAAGTTTTATTTCCTCCAATAACCACGCTTTTCAAGTTAATTTTCTTTCACCTACAACTCATTTTTTTTTGTTTTGTTTCATGTTCAGCAAGTTAGGTTATTATTTCGAGGGGTGAGGGGGAATAAAATACATGTGAAGGACATTTAGACTATGGAAGCAAACGTTCAGAAACTAGGAAGTGATGGTCTCCACTAACTCTGCTTCTTTGTGTCTCCTTTGCAGTCTTTTTTCACTTTTGCTTTTGTGCGTTTGATATGCAGCTTCAGCACCTTCTGGTGATTGACAGCAGGCGTGACAGTAACTCACAGGAGTGGTGTTCATGGTCTTTTCAATTTGGATTTCTTTCGTAAAGCTTGTTCAGAACATTGTGAAATCTGGTAAAACTTCATCTGGGCTGTGATTACTTTCATTATCACCCCATCATTCCGACATGGCCATCGGTGCAGGTCAGAAGGGCTGGGCGGATGAGACAGGATAGAGGTAACAGTTACAACTGGTTTTGCTCCTCTTCCTTTGGTGTCTGGGAAGGCACACCGGATAGACAGGGAAAGGAGTACGAATTCAAGTCTGATCTGTACTCCAGTCATCTGGTTAGATGCAGATCATTGCAGTGTCATTCAGCTGCTGAGTGTAGTGCTTAGTGTAAGATAGCATAGGAAAATGTTAAGAGACTAAAAAAAAATGCTGTATGTAGTATGCCGGTGGTTCACCCATATGTCTAATTTTACCTTTAGTTATACTAATGGTGTGTTGTGTGCCTCAACATCATTGAATAGAAGCCTGAAGGGAAAAAGAAATGAATCGGGGACTTTATGGCCAGGGGACAGAAAGCCTGCTTAGTCAGAGACTGCCAGTAGATGTATTTGTCATTTTCCATAGAGTAGGGTAGCGTTTAATTATCAAGAAATACATTTACTTACATTTTGTTGAAAAGATTAAATTAGATAACTGGATGTTTGCAGTGTGATAACATGAGGACTCTAAGTTAGTGTTCTTGCATTGAACTTCTGTTCTTCGAGAAGTTCCTATCTAGGAAAGCAGTGAAACTTTCCTTGAAATACAATCTTTGAATTTATGTTGACTTTCCTTTGCTTACTAGGTAGCCACCCATTTCAGTAGTTCTGAGGATTTTTTTCAAGGAACTATTTAGCTGAAATTTAAGTATCTCAGATTTGTCCTCTTTCCTGTGTGTTCTTTTCTCACTTACTTGCATCCTCACTGGTTGTGTGCATCCAGGTTTTTTTAAATGATGGTGCTTCCATATCTTACCTTGTGTTGGATCATTTTTGATTTCTGCACTGTGAAGGCATATTAAATAAATTTACTTTTTTCCTGTCAGTACAAAAGCCATAGCTTTTTGAGTGTTTTCCTTGAGCTTTCTTAGTGCCCAGCTCTCATTTGGAGCCAATGTTTGTCCTCTAAGAGTTAGTATTAATATAGAGGATGTTTTGTGGTTGAATTTTGATTACTCCCACCCAACTATCCATTGCAACAGATTTCAGATGATAATGTGTTGTTGAGTTTCTATGGAATCATCTACTGCATTTCGTGTGTACAAGTTAAATCTAAATCTAAAGGGTGCAATCTTGCTCTCAACTGCATTTCGTGTGTACAAGTTAAATCTAAAGGGTGCAATCTTGCTCTCCTTTGAGACCTGTTGCACCAAAACCCTCAAGTACTCTGAATTTTTTAATATATTTGTATGGTCTCCAACTGGCATCCAAAATACCTTGTAAAGATGGCGATCAAGTTACCTTAAAAGCAAATGAAAAATAAGAACAGAGACACAATATTAATAGCTTACACTAGGCAGGTATTTGAGGGTTGTGTCATAAAAATGTTTAATAGAAGCTTGCTGCTTATGCTCAGTTTACTTTCAAATAAAATAATACTTTTTTCCTGTAGGTAATATATCCTCCACATTCAAAACTCACCGATAAAGAGGTAAGTCATAGTTGCTCTATAAGTACATAATTTGGTTTTAGTTTAGTAATTTCAGGAAATATAATGTCTCTTTTTTCTTTTCCCCATCCTTTAGAAAACCAATATTTGCTATTTGTCTTTTCCAGATTCTAATTCAGGTAAGTGCTTCCTTCACTCTGTAGTTGTCTGTTGTTGGACGAAGGTATGTTAAAAAAGATTGAATTTGGCAGTATAAATTCAGGGTTTTAGATTCAATACTTACATGAATATCTTAATTAATATTTAAATACAGAAAAGTTGCAAATAAGGTTAAATATAAAACTGTAATTGTCTGTATTGCAGTAAGGTCAGACAAGTTTTTTTTTTTTATTTTATGTAAATGAAATGTCAGGAATGTAAATGTATAAGACCTTCCAGATGACACACATGCAGATGTTTCAGAATATTTTTCAAGTAAAGAATAAACATCTTATTCTTGCTTTTAAGTAAAATAATAATATTGTCATTGTAGAGAGAAGTGTAGGCACAGAAATTGAATGGTTTGGTAAAGCAAATGGAAAGGATATGGAACCATCTTCTCATAAAGGAGTAAATGTACGTTTTCTAAATTCATAACAGTGAATCTGGCTTTCGAATTCGAAAATATTTAGAAAGAACAGTGTGAAGGGAAAACCTAGGCTATTTTATATCTTCTTTATTCTTCATGCTTCTGTTGCTGTGTGTGGTTCCGCGTGCTAAATTCTTCTTTAATCTAAACTTCTACTGTTCTGCTGCCAAAGAGAAATTGCAGGCGTGTGGCTGATGACTTGGACCACCTGCAAAAAAATATGGCAGAAGTACAGACTCTTCCTTTCACATTTCTTTTTCTATGAAAGTCAAAACCTGTAGTAACAGGCTTGTCCGTGTCACTGCTCTTACTCTGTGCTTTCGGTTGCTCTGCAGCATAACAGCTCTGATATGGGGTGATGCAGATGTGTGCTTTTAATGTGCGTGTGAGCTCTCTTATGTAATTTTACAAAATACCTTGGCTCATTTTTTCCACTTGTCTTAATGTCATTAAAATTAAGATATTTTCTCGGTTCTTGATATCCTGTATGTAAATAGAAGAGGAGCTTCTTTCTATTACTGAAGAAGATGAGTTAACTGTATCTTATTACTGTTGTTGTTAATGGTTTTAAATCTGTCCAACCTTCCAAAGGTGATTTGAAGGTACCAAATAATGCGTTAGGAACAAAGCCTGATTTTTTTTTTTTTTCAATTTTTTTTTTTTTTTAAGTAAAGGGG